AACCAGTAGGTGGCAGTAGTGTTCTTTGACAAACATGGATGCCTCCAGTAAAGCACATTCAAATGTAATTACTCTTAATTAAAAACACTGATCATTTATTGAACAGGATGGAATCATTTCAGATTTAAAGAACTTTCAGAAGTTTGAATTCTGAATATGAGCGACTTTTCCTTTAAAGCCTTAGTTTTGCTGAGCGGAGTATGATCTCATGTCTGCAGGTATAAAACCTCTTTATCTCGGTCTGATTCAGCTGCTAAAGGCAGTTTTAGCAGCGTTCGTCATGGATCCAGTCGCATGCGCTCATACGGATGATGTCGCTGCGAATGTTGCCACACTAGACGTATTTCCACTCTCATACGGCTTCTTCATGCCACAGTGGCTCCATACCGTCATTGTTTTGCCCACCATCCTTCCTCCAACATCATTGTCCCTGTCAGGGAAGCCAAAATATCCCATACATGCGACTTAAAGGATGCGGCTGGTTTTCCAAGCTCCTCTCCTCTGCTAGCTATGATCACCGCTCTGTTTCACCTGATTGGACTGAGCAGGCCCTCTCCGTGTGAACAGGCCTCTTTATTTGTTTGTTTGGTCGGCCAATCCTTGGACCACTCACATGCGAATCGTGGAGAGAAATCCGTAAATATCTCTGACCAGCAATGATCTGTTGCACCACTAATCAATACCAAGCAGGATGGTTAAAGATTCAGGGAAATGTTACTAGTTTAAATAGATTTATGGAAACAAAACATGTATTGTTTCTCTGTTTTACAGGTTGGGGGGAAAGTTTCTTGTGTTCCAGCTGAAGCTGTTAAGCAGGTGTATTCAAACAAAGTTTATCAAACCTTAAGCTCCTCAGGGAGCCGTTTTCAAGGCTGCAGCTGACTATACCCATAGTCATTCTACATAGTTTGATCTGTTCTTTGTTTCAGGAAAAAAATAAACCATTTTCTCTTCATAGCTGCACTGAACAGAAAGGAAAGCTGTGGGATTTCTGGTTAGGAAGGATTGGACACCTATAATAAGATTTTTAAGTCTAAATGAGGGTTTGAGTGTCTGCAGAGTCTCTCTGGTTTATAGAGCTACAATGAAGACTGAAGTATAAATTACAGCCTGACTTGGTGGATGAATGGTTCCACAGTTCCCATACATCTTCATTATCTGCCCATTACTGGAGCAGTGGTTAAAGCACACCGATGGGCTGTTTTGTGGAACGTCGGTTGCTTAGAAAGGTTTCTGATTAAAGACTTTGCTCTTTTCTGACATGTTATAGTCGCTAAATGTGTGAAAGCTAGAGGTTATAGATAATAGATCTTTATCTTATAATAAATACGTGGATCATTCTCTGAGCTTTCGATGATTGAAGCAAAAAACATTGCATGTGCATAATGCTTAATTCAGTTCTATTCACTTTATTTCTATAGCGTCACGTAATATCACGTCATCTCAGGTCACTTTACAGAGACAATTCAACCAGATCATCCAGTCAGACTCATTGACTCTTCAGCAATCCCTCACACCAAGCATGCTTGTAGTGACAGTGGAGAGGAAAAA